ACTGTTCAGATAGTTTATCTTTCAGCCACTGTTCAGATAGTTTCAGCTACTGTTCAGATAGTTTCAGCTACTGTTCAGATAGTTTCAGCTACTGTTCAGATAGTTTATGTTTCAGCTACTGTTCAGATAGTTTATCTTTCAGCTACTGTTCAGATAGTTTATCTTTCAGCCACTGTTCAGATAGTTTCAGCTACTGTTCAGATAGTTTCAGCTACTGTTCAGATAGTTTCAGCTACTGTTCAGATAGTTTCAGCTACTGTTCAGATAGTTTATGTTTCAGCTACTGTTCGGATGGTTTATCTTTCAGCTACTGTTCGGATGGTTTATCTTTCAGCTACTGTTCAGATAGTTTATCTTTCAGCTACTGTTCAGACGGTTTAGCTTTCAGCTGTTCTGGCCATTTTAGCTCTTACTTAATGTTTTGTAAATTTTAGCTTTTTGCTTATGATTTGCTGGTTTTAGCTTTGCTCATTTTGTTTTTTCCTTCTTTACTGATTTTATTTCAGTTTCAGCTTCTTTGACAGTTTCAGCTGTTTTTCAGCATTCCCTCTGAACAGGCCGATTTTAGCTGATTTTAAAATGAATTCACGAGGAGGCAGTGAAACCACTCATTCATATTTTTATTTTCTTTGTTCAGTAAATTGGATGATTTTTGACCAAACAGGCAGAAAAACTGAATTTCTGAAGCTGAAAGTGAAGAAATAATTATTTATAATTTATTAAACAGAATTAGTTTCTAATGAATTTTTATTTGATGTTTTATCCACAGACCAGATGTTCTCCACGACCAGGTGACTGCTGCTTCATTAATATTATTTACGTGTTTATGAATTTGTTGCAGTTTTGTTTTTAACAAACAGTTTGTAAAGTTTATTTCTCATGAATTTGATTGTTTTCAGCTGCTTACTGTGAGACCTGTCCTCTGGGCTGGACCTGGTACGGGGGACACTGCTACATGTTTGAGAAAAGTGGGAAGGAGTGGGCCGATGCRGAGGTAAATAAACAACTGTTTACTCTGTAAACATCTGACTGAAGCAGCTAAAACAACAAGTTTAAAGATTTAAACTCATAAAATTCACTTTAAAACTGATTTAAAGTGAATTTTCTGCAGGAAAAAGTCAGAAAGAAAGAAAGGTTTTAAAAGGGGACAGATCTGTTAAATCCACTCCTTTAGCTGTTTAATGTTGTTGGACTGAGTCTCTCCTGCTGCTGCAGAGAACTTTAGATTCTGTTTGGGTCAGACTCTGGTTCTGGGTCAGACTCTGGTTCTGGGTCAGACTCTGGTTCTGGGTCAGACTCTGGT